GGGCTATTTGAAAAGGGGTGTGAGGCCTACAAACCTACCGAACTTTAGCTATCTTTGAATGAATTTTTTTATTCTTCTGTAGGTGTGTTTGTGAGTGAAATCCTCCTAAATAGTTGTACGGATTTTAACGAAACTTTTTGTGTATTTGAGTGGGTCTCTGGATGGTTTAGTTTCACAATTTAATCCGACAGTTGGCGCTGTAGTTGAGTTATTACTAAAAATCTTATTTATGATCCGATTTGGCTAATGTTTTAAATATGTATGCAATACTATTGCAAAAACGTGCTGCCAAGTGGTGCTGAAGTCGAGCTATTACTAAAAATAGCCAAGTGAGAAAAGGGGCCGTGAAGGTCAGATTAAATCGACCTGTTGCACCATTGAGTATATCGAACGCTCCTGCGTTGCAATTGGCCCAATGGATGTGATTTTCCAATATTATTATGCGTTCAAACTTTTAAGGTATTTCGTCTGCAATAAGTATATGTGACCTGGTCTACGAAAAGGGAGCTTACGTGCGAAAACTAGTTTTCTGTGAAAAAGCTGTTAAAAGTAAGCAACTCGTTTCGTCAGTTTCTCATTATCTCGTTAATTGTTCTCCGCGCCGGACGTCCAGTAAGTGTTGTTGTTGGTCCAGTAAGTGTTGTTGTTGGTCGGAATATTATTATAGTTTTATTATTATTATTATTAACATTATTATTATTATTATTAATATTATTATTATTTTTAGTACACTTCTAAGCAAGTTAGGATTTTCTGCTTTTCACCACGTGAAAAAGCATCTCATCTTCCATCCGAATCAACCAAAAAGTGAAAATTGATTTTTTGACACCTAAGCCCCCTTTCCGTAGACCAGGTCACATATGTATATTGCATTTCTGTAGAACAATGATTCGCACCCATTTTGAAATTGCCACCTACTATACTGTAAAGCTTCTAGGACATTCACTATAGAACCGGGTCATTGTTGCCGCCAGGGAGTGAAGAGGAAAAAATGTATTTCGCTTTGCGAATAACCGTGCTATGAAATGCCGCACAACTGGAGAATTTCAAGAACATATATAACACTTTCATTAGGTTATTTAAAGCGGCAAATGACCACCAAACCTTAATCTTAGCAGACAAATGTGCCAATGAAAATCGTAAACGTGAATTGTTGGTGAAAATGTTGGACCAAAAAGTTTCAATAAAATATATAAAAATTTTGGGCGGGACGAAGTTCGCCGGGTCTGCTAGTATTTAATACTTGCGCCGGATATTTAATGTTCGGCTCCGCCCGAACTTAGACTTTCTTACTTGTTTTTGTTTACTTTATTTAACATTAAATTTACTGCTTTTAATATATTTATAGTATCGGAATGCAAAAGGAAATGGGCAAGCTTGCGCAATGCCTACACCAGATGTTTGCGGGAAGAAAGAACCAAGTCATCAGGATCGGCTGGCAAGAAAAAGAAGTGGTATTGGGCTGATAGCATGTCCTTTTTAAATGAGCATATCAATCCGCAGTATAGTAATATAAGCAATTTTGATTGTACAGATCTTGACTCTCCGCCTTCTTTGAATGAAAATATTGAAAGTATGGAATCAGATACAAGTATTGTCAGAAACAGCCACTTACCATCCAAAAGAAGTAGAACTTTGGTTTCAGAGCCAGTGGTACCGCCAGTGTTTGAATTTGTACAGTCAAAAGCCAGAGAACGTGTACCAGAAAACGGAAATTCATTATTTTTCATGAGTTTGCTGGCTGATTATGAGAAACTGACCACTAAAAGGCAAAGGGCATTTAGAATGCATATGTTAACTAAAATGAATGAGTTGCAAGAAGAGGAGGAAAATGACGCCTTAAATGCAGAATCGGAGGAAGAAAAATTGTATAATAACTATGAACGACATAATTCTCATTCAAATAAATCTTTTGAACGATTTTAAACATACAACTTTTGGTTTCAATTTCAAAGGAATTCAGATTTTGGTGACTTTTGGACTTGCGAAGCTGTGCAATCCAAAAACTAATAATACATATTTCCTACAAAAATACACATATTCTAAATACCATGAAAATAGTCCTAAGGAGAGTTAAACTTGATTTTCGCAAGCCAGAGTCGCTGAATTCTTCTTCATATTATGAACAAAAGCGTTGGACGGAGCGTTTTCTGACGCCTAGCGTTAACGCCGAAGTGCCATACCTAGGCAAAAGCGTCAACGCTATGTCATATGCAGAACTAACACTAACAATAAGCATAGGTGTCTTTGTGTTAAACACGAGAATGACAATTTTGCGGTTTTATGCAGCCAACTTCACTTCGTAACTTCCTGTCAAAATCGGATGTTCCAATCGCTTAGCGTTGACGCCACGTTATTTCGGTATTCTTCATACAAAATGAGTATCACTGACTTCCAAAACGTACCAATATAATGTTTGAATACTGTTCTACTGTGGTATTTAAACTGTTTGTATATGCAGAGTTCCGAAACACTACAACCATATACATTGCATATTTTGAATATCTAATAAAACAATGATCACCATTTCGAAATTTTCTATTTTTGAAACACCAATGGTAACCAAAAACGAACGAAGCGATGCGTTTAGATAACTTTTCGGATGCGCTTTGGAAAAGTAGTTTGGCGTTATGGAACATTAAACTTTGTACGTATGCAGTGCAATTGATGTTTTGGAAGTCAGCCTATTTTCTGAAGGCTAGACAACGCTTGAGCTTTTGTTTAGGTATGGCAGTAAGCAATTTTGGCGGAGTTCAACAAAGCGCGCTGGTCGTTTCATTTCTGTGCCAACTGACGCTAATTGGAAATGTCAAGTCCTTCTCCGCTCGGTTTTTCCATCGCAGTTGGGGACTCCATCTTCCTCTGCTACAATGCATAATATATCCCAAAAATTTAACGGGACAAATGAGAAATAAAGGGTTTGCTTTAAAATCCCAACTGCGAACCATATACTAACAAAGGTGATCCATTCCAACGAACTAATTCTCAGATTAGTTGTAAGCTTATGATAAATAAAATTAAAATAAAGTATGTACGTAAACATATAATTGACAAACCCATAAAAACAAAGTAAGAGATACAGTTGCGGTCAAAATAATATCAGCAAAATTGAAAATGATGCTCTTGGCACCTTATCTTTTTTATTTATTGTTAATAATTTTCATTTAAAATATGGGTCGATCCATGATACAATAATTTTTAGAAGGTAGTTTCACTTCAAAATTTTTGACATAAACCGTGTCTGTGACAAACACGCAATGTGGCCACTGCTACGATATAGAACTTGGGGATTATCGCTTGTTATTTTAGATATTTTTTAACAGAACATGTAAAAATTTATGAAACATTCATAACTGATCACTTAATTTTTTATAAATATATATATTTATACAAACATTTTTGCCACTGCTAATCACATGAATAAAAATCATAAAAATGAAAATATAACAGCAATATTTCTTGTTTATAATGGATTAGATCCATCGCACACCACGGACTTTATCGGCCGCCAATTTAGATGTGCTCTCTGGTCTTTCCATTGCACCACAGCGCGATTAAGCTGGTGTAATGTGCGCACCTCCATACATCTTCATGTACATATTTCAAGCGAGCCCTATCATTTAAATAGGCGGCCGATAAAGTAGTGTGGTGTGCGGTGGCTCTTATAGCTGTATCCTTACATCTATTCCGTGTGTTGCAATATCCACGAAAGCAGCAGTTAATTTTTTATTAAGAAAATTATTACAAAATATTCGAAAATTTCTCTACTTATATGTTTGGCTTTTCTTTGTTTTATTTTTCCAACGTCAAAAGCTGGATTTTTTTTTTGAAAAGTTGGTACAACAAAAAATGCGAAACATGTTTTCTGTCAGATAGCTAACATGGCGGATAAGAAGAAGTGAAACTACCTTCTAAAAATTATTGTATCATGGGTCGATCTATATCAGATACCAAATAAATAAAAGTTTTAAAGCTTTCTAAAACTTCACAAAATTTAATTAAACTTGAACAAGTTTTCATAAAAATGTCGATATGTATTTTAATTTATAGCCCATTCAATTTCAGTACAATAAAGTTTCAAGTCGCTAAAAATTACAGATGATTTTTTAGATTGTTTTTTGTGGAAGGTGTTGCGCATATTCTTCCATATAAAGGTCAGTTTTGTTCATGTGTTATATGGAAGAAAATTCGCAACACCTTCCACAAAAAAAAAAATATGTATCTAAAAAATCAACGGTAATTTTTAGCTATATTTCTCTTACAGAGTAGCATGCAATAATGCTTGCTAGAAGTTTACAGGTTGAAAAGAATAATGAAATTGTCGAAAATACGGGAAAAATCTTGTCCCGGCGGAACATTTAAAATTTAATGCAAAATACGGGACGTCCCGGCAAATACAGGACACTTGGCAGCGCTATTTTTAATAGACTTTTTCGTGCTGATTACGAATCTGTGAGTATAAAGTTTCCATCGGCTCGGGATTTTGGGATAAATGACGCAGGGAAGCCAACTCGTGGGGCATTCCCCGATTTGCGGGGAATTTCAGTTTGCGTGGGAAATCGGGGAATGTACCATTTTTTGTGGGGAATTTACGTGGGGAATCGGGGGATAAACTGTTTTTTTTTTGTGAGGAATCAGGTGTTGACCAATTTTTTTCTTTTTTGCTTCACTTATTTCATGAGTAAAAAAAGTTGCATAAGAAATACAACTGCAACTAAAGTACTGATTATGCAACCCTGAAAATTATGCAAACTACTGTTGACTTTTTAGAATTTTCTTTGTCGCATTTGCTTTCATGTAACAAATAAACACAATTTATTCTTAATATGGAAGAAAACTGCAACACCTTCGGAAAAAAATTTTAAGTGAAAATGCTTAGCCACTTAAAACTTGAACTTTATTGTACTAGAATTGAGTTCGCTACAAAACTGCACACTCGAAATCTTTATAGAAAATCGAATTAAAAAGCTCGAAATTTTTACGAACGTATATTGAATATTTTTGTAAATATTGTAAAAAGTTTGTAACTTGGATTTATACGGGTTTTGTTAAAAAATGAACTGTGTATATATTGATAAAAAAATAACTCAAATTAAATAAAAAAAAGTAAAAATAATTGCGAAAACTTGTAAAAATTAACTGCGACTACAATTTTTTCGACCACTGTATGTATGTACATTTTTCATTCTTCATTTGTTAACTAACTTTATAAAAGTTTGGTTTGATTTATGAATACATATCGCACACCTAGATCTAAAGTGAGCTAACTCAAAATTCAGAGAGGGAAATATAACTGCTTGTGGATCGTACAGTTTCAACTCTATTAATACAAAAACAAGTATAACAGTAGTTTTTTAGTTAATGTATATAATCGTAAATCAAAATATATTTGCATTAATTGGATGCAAAAAGATCACCCAAAATTTGTTTTGAGTTGATCGCTCTTTAGATTTAGGTGGGCGATATGTAGATGAAATGAGGTCAAAGTGTCAATAAATCGCATTTTTAGCAATATTTGAAAAGCTCTAGCAAAGAGACAAAAGGTGATAGAGCTTTCCACTTAGGCTTAAATTAAAGCTAGAGCTCTCGACTACTATCCGTGAAAATACTGTCTCTGCACCTTGATCTGATGGTCGATTATAGTAATAAATTGAACAGTAAAAAAATACTGGATTATTGTGCTATATAAATTGTGCCAAAATCAACTTTCGCTGTTAAATAAAAGGCTATTTATATTTTATTGTATTTGGATGCATCTACTACATACTACATACTAATCTGGTTTCGATCCGATCATTGGATCGATTTTTATATGAGATTTGAAGTCGGTTTTGTTTTTTGCTTAAAAATTACTTGTTTATGTAACATAATTGAGGATGAAATTACAATATCCGAAATACTCCTTTTTAAGAAAAGCGAAGAAGAGTTGAAGTTTTTGGAATTAAAAAAAGGTACTGGAAATGCAACATAAAGCTTTGCTATTGCTTGAATTTCGGCAACAAGTACTAGATTTAAAATATCCGCTGCTGAAAACTCAGGGGGACATAGTTCATATTAATACAGGCTCTATAAAGAGTTAGAAGAAGAGGCGCTATTCACTCCTTTGATTGCTGTAACATGGCCGGTATAATACCATCCGGGCCTGGGGATTTAAATGGTGAGAAACTATTTATTTCATAGGTGATCTTCTCTATGCTTATTGTTGATTTCAGGTCCGTGCTAGGTGTGCTTGGAAATTCTGTTCCACCTAGTGTTGCTGCATGCTGTTTACGTCCTGGGAAGTGGGATTGAACTAACATTTCTACGGTTTCATCAATGGAGCTTGTCCATATATCATTTGTCCCTTTAATAAAGGAGACATTGGTGTGCTCCTTTGAGAGTATCTTGCTCCGAGTCTCTGACATTCTTTAATGAGGAGCAATAGGCTTGTCAGGAATTGGCTTTTGCTTTTCTCAGTTCTTTTTTGTACGATTTTAAGTCTTTTTTGTAAGGGTCTCATTTCTTGGACCTAAAGCACTCGTTAAAAAGTTTTCTAACACTATTTCTAAGAGCTCTAAGCTCCCCATTGCACCAGGGCGGGGATTTCTTTTTCATGACACTCCATGGGGTCGATTTTTCATAGGCTTTGGTCATCACCCTCTCTAAATTGCTTACGTTTCGTTCTATCTCATCTGATGAGGTTATATTTCCTTCTTTTTGGTTGTTTGTGTTTCTAACAGGGTAAAAGAATGATGTATTGTGGAACGATTTTCCGTCATCCCTTGTCAAATTTGGTTTGGAGACAAACCGGTTTCGGCGTTGTGTCATCTTCAGTGTCACTTTTCGTTCTGAAATAGTTCGTGTTTCCTTCTGCTTTTATGTATTCGTGTTACTATCTCTTTTAACTGTCATTAGGTCATACATACCCATCTAAGTGCGTCAGCTTT